GTGTACCTCTGTTGCTTAAAATTCAGGAAGGAAATTTAGGAAGATCTCCTCAAAACCAGGATTTCTTAATTTCAACCAGTTGCACCTAACGAGTGGCAGTTTCCCCTCATAACCAGTGCTACAAACTTCCAACTCAGACCCAACCCTCCAGTGAGAAGCTCTCCAAAGATGTTTCTCCTGATATTCCCTCAGGCAAGGGTAAGTCCCTACAGCTGAGCCCAGCTGCATTCCTCTCATGGCTGAGATCGCTGGCAGTCCCACTAGTGAGGAAACACAGCTGTGGTAATTCCAGTCTTCAACAGAGAACATGTTAACCCTTGATTAGACTCAACACCTTGCCGAGGGGAAAAGCGACCCTAACTACTTGGCTTCTCAATAGTTTGACACCTTGTATTTATTTGCTGAAGTATTTGCCTGTCTCTTCAGATTCCTGGTGAAAGCATGTTCTTCAAAAATAGCTCTAGGCCACATGTCTGCAACAGTTCCTTCCTGCAGCGGAACAGAGCTGCGAAAGACGACAGATCAGCTGTACCTTTAATAGTTATGCAGAAGCTGGATTTTCTGCAGGTGTACTTATACCATTGCTAAAGGTACAGGAACCCTGTCCTCCTTGGCATGCATCTGCCCAGCCTGTTGAGCTGTGTCCTCTTTTGTTTTCTTGGGCTTCCTGCTGTCTACAGCCAGTGCCAGATTTATGTATAAGATAAACAAGCTATAGCTTAGGGCCCCACTCTCTTGGGGTTCCCCAAAAATTTAAAGAAAAAACCTGGATGTAGATTTCCAAAATATAAGATAAAAAACAAAAATAAAACCTACATACAGCAACAGTGTTTTGTGTTGCGTACGCACCTATAATGTAAACAATGGGCCCTGCCTGCTGGCCTGTTCCCTAAAATATCACAATTACTTTGATAAAATACATATTTGTTATTTGCAAATGGCTTTAGATACCTATTAGGTCCATAAATTACCATATAACATATATTCAACACAAAAAAACAGTGACAATTTGTTGTTGACAAAGGACAGCTGGACATATAAAGGGCCCCATTACCTTCAGTAGCTTAGAGCCTCATCAAACCTAAATCCGGCCCTGTCTACAGCTGTAGATATTCAGCACAATAAGCCTGCAGCTTACGCACATGTAACTTGTGCACATTCAGCTTTATGCTCTTGGCAAAGAAATTAAAAGAAATTAAAAAGGGGTAGAAAAGGGGTGGAGTTCGGGGGGGGGGAATGACTTTAGCAGTTCCACCTGCCATTGCACCCAATGTGTTTTGACTATACACGGTTTTGGTTTTAGGCGCAATCCCTGGAACGTAACCCCAGTGTAAATTGTGGGCTTACTGTACGGTATGATGAGTTGAAGCTGAAGAACTTTATTTTCTGCTGAAACTCCAAAGCCTCTCTGATCAGCACCACCTTGTGGTCCCTGGGCTTATTCACAGCAGAAGTTACTCTGAAGAAGGAACATGTTCTGTTTTTGCTTGTTATATCTTCTGGAGTCTTCAAGTAGCTGAGATATTACAGTTAAATTGCAGTGCAGAATGGCCATGGTTGGCAACAGAGAATAATTTTACAGATTCAGCACTTTGCATTATCTAAAGCAAACTGTTTTTCTTTTGAATCAGTTTAACTTTCTTTTTTGAGTGGACATATATGCTTCTGTTCTGAGGTTATAAGATCCTCAACCTTTTCATCATGCAACTAGCATGAATGATCACATGACTGAGAATGAGTGACAGGGCCTTCTCAGTGGTGGTGCTTCTTAGCCTTCCTTTTCTGTTATCTTTCAGACAGAAACAGAATACATTTTTATTTAAGCACATCAATAATGCATAGTTCTACTGCAGTTGTAGCCATTTTAATTGCTGCTTTTTGTGTTTTTAATTCTCTGGTTTCAATATTGTATGCTTATTCTTCAATAGTTTCATTTAAGCACTTTTCTCTTTAGACATTATAACCCAACCCCACAGGTAGCATTTTGTAAGGTTGAGCAGTATTAAAACTGCACCCTGTCTCCATTGCCTTTTAGGACCTGGAGGGGAGAGCTGGAGCATTGTGGAGGCCCATTGGGCAGTTTAGAACTCGGAAAATTGGGAAATGGAGTTGGGAAAACCAGTTGATGAGGGAGGTTTGAGGAAGAGACATATGATAGCTGATGCCAAATACCCAGTTATCCTATAACTCCTTGTTGGTGAAGATTAGGAGGTTGCTGTTGACTGGGTTAGACTAAGAGGCTACTCTTTGTAAACGTCTTTCCACGAAAAGGTTACACCATCATTTTTTGTTTGCTTGTTTGGTTTCTAATAATAATAATAATAATAATAATAATAATAATAATAATAATAATAATAATTAATTTGTACCCCACCCATCTGGCTGGGTTTCCTGAGCCACTCTGGGCGGCTTCCACAAAAACCAAAAATACACTAAAATATCACACATAATCCCTGAACAGGGCTGCCTTAAGGTGTCTTCTGAATGTCAGGTAGTTGTTTATCGCTTTGACATCTGATGGGAGGGCGTTCCACAGGGAGGGCGCCACTACTGAGAAGGCCCTCTGCCTGGTTCCCTGTAGCTTTGCTTCTTGCAATGAGGGAACCGCCAGAAGGCCCTCGGTGCTGGACCTCAGCGTCCGGGCAGAACGATGGGGGTGGAGACGCTCCTTCAGGTATACTGGGCCGAGGCCGTTTAGGGCTTTAAAGGTCAACACCAGCACTTTGAATTGTGCTCGGAAACATACTGGGAGCCAATGTAGGTCTTTCAAGACCAGTGTTATGTGGTCTCGGCGGCCGTCCCCAGTCACCAGTCTAGCTGCTGCATTCTGGATCAGTTGTAGTTTCTGGGTCACCTTCAAAGGTAGCCCCACAAAGAGCGCATTGCAGTAGTCCAAGCGGGAGATAACTAGAGCATGCACCACTCTGGCGAGACAGTCTGCGGGCAGGTAGGGTCTCAGCCTGCGTACCAGGTGGAGTTGGTAGACAGCTGCCCTGGCTACAGAATTGACCTGCGCCTCCATGGACAGCTGTGAGTCCAAAATGACTCCCAGGCTGCGCACCTGGTCCTTCAGGGGCACACTTACCCCACTCAGGGTAAACTATCCAAGCAGCCAGAAGTACAACTGGAGGAGCTTTGGGGTTAGAGGCAGATTGTTCCCAACAGTTGGGCATGTTATAAGTTTTTTTTGGCTGGGGTGGAGGTTTACAGAATTTGGCTTTAAAAGCCATTTAGAGGATGGTGTAAGTCTCTCGAGTCTTTAAAAACTGTCATCAGGCACATTTAAGACCCCAGTGAAATATAATAATACCCTTTTAATAAACAATATTTGTTATTAGTTCATCCTGTGGCTAGTGTTGGTGTGTATATCCCACCTAAGTCTATCTCAAATCGAAGCTTCTAGAAGGCTTTAATAAGGGAATAGTGCCATTGGAAACCGGGTCACATTGAGGAGCTCTGAGTTATGTGGCAAGGAGTTACATAGTGCAAATACCTAAACTTGTGTTTATAAAAAGTGAGATGAGATAAGGGGAACCAATTTACCTATAGGTGTAGTAGCAGAGGGATTTGTATTTCCCCATACTGTACACAGAAATCGAGAGATGTTAAGGGATGAAGAAAGACGCCCTGTTTCCCCTCCCCAAACAAAGTATTTGAACTATATGCTCAGTTTACTGCAGCCTGTTTTGTTATTGAAGATTCAGTGACCCTTGCTCATTAGATTATGATTATACAGATCTATTTTAGAATGTATTTACATTAGAATATAAAACACTAAGAGTCCAGCAAATGGCTTTATGCAGGTTTAGTCTGGATGACCCTTGAAGTTATGATTCTATGAAGACATATATGAACATGGTTAACAAGAAAGAAAAGTGACTGAAATATTAAAAATGCCACAAATAATAGTGTAATACTGACACCTGCAGGATAGGTGTCATTACCTAGGTGTTTGCAGCATTGGACAGAGTGGCGGTCTAAACCTATACACGTTTATTCACCAATATTAAGTCGTCCACAAAGGCTTTTAGTTTGAAGGACTGTTTTCCCAGTAATATCCCTTTAATTTCTTCTTCCCTTCTTATTTCCGAATTTAGTATTTCTAGTGTTAGTGTAAATAATAGAGGAGAGAGGGGGCAGCCTTGCCTTGTTCCTTTTTCTATAAAGAAATGAATTGTTTTTTCATTGTTTATGATTAATCTGGCTTTTTCATAAATGGCTTTTATACCCCTATAACATTCTCTCATTTCAGATAAGTTGATAACCTTTTTTAGGAATTACCAAAATAGATTATTCGATAACCTATACAACGTTTATTCAGATGCTAGCCCTACTATAGTCAGTGGATTTACATACAGACCCCATACGTGAAACATTGAAGCCTTAGATGGCAAAAGCTGCCCAAAGAGGCCAAATCTATTTTGGAGGAGCAACATTATCTGCCAGAATAAGAGATCTGAGCAATGTCGGGATTAATACAAGTGAGCTTTAGTCCTCATATTAGTTCAGTTTGTAATATATGCAGGTATGTCTATCAATCTATGATTGGGTTTATATAAGAAAAGGCGTTAAAAAAAACAGGGCAGGGGGGCAAATGGTGGAGAAGAATATGACTTGCAACCAAATGTTGCAATGTGTTCAAAAATTCCAGCCACTCCATTCCATTCTCTCTTCCCTCTGGTTTCTTCCAGCAGTCAGTCACAAGTTAAATTCTGTGTCCATTGACCATGCTCAGTCCTCATTGGGCTGTTTTGTGCCTCTTCTTAAGGTTCACCTGCACCCAAAATATTTTTGTACTACTTTTACATGCCTCTTATGTGTGAATGGTGCTGTTTTGGCTACATGAGGATCAGCACTTAGATAATGAGTTTGCTAATAGTATAGTATATGGGCTAATTAGGGATGGACAATTCTCAATTTTGTTTCCTCTCAGTTTCTAATTTTTCTAGTCTGAAATTCACTTCCACATTTCTGCATCAGCTTGTGAATTTTTTTTAATGCAAATTCATCAGAATTTTAGTGCAAATTTCTTCCAAATACACATTTTGGTATGCAGTTTTGCACGATGTCAACATTTTTAAAAGCAATTTCCCCCAGTATAATGCATTTGATATGTTATTTTCACACTTTCCCCGATATGCACATTTATGAATACAGTACATTATTTGGCAGAAGAACTGCAGCACAAAATTCAGAGAAGTACAAATTACAAATGACAACTATGTTTCAGTTCATGTATTGTTTTGGAAACTACAAATTAGGTAGGTTCACATTAAAATCCTAACCATATCGAATTTCTCCCACCCTCCTATGGGTGGTACAGCTCTGTCATTCAGCTCATACCAATTTAGGATTTATCTTCATCTCTTAATCATCCCTATCAAATACCTTTCCATTTTCCTTTGGTAACATCCAAGGAAATATATTCTATGACATTCTTGCTCAGCTGAACCAGTGCTGAACTTCTCTTTGTTGTCCTGGGACACACCATTCTCTTATAGGCTTTCCGTGTTCACGGTTCAGGTGACCCCCAAATATTTCATTAATCCAGCAGATTATAATATAAAAATCAGACCACCAAGATCAAGTTCTTATTTTATATAGATAGATAGATGATAGATAGATAGATAGATAGATATAATACTATTGATGAATGGAATGTTATTTCTTACAACAAAAGAGAACACAATTTAAATGCTATTTACCCTTTTTTTTCTCTGCTTCATCTTCAAAAGAAAACTAAGTACCGTAGGTACCAACCAACAATAAAATTAATAATTAAAAAAGTGACCAGAAAAGCAGAATATATCAGAAGCAAGCAGATAAATAGCATAGCCAAAAAGAAAAAGAAAAGCTGTTCTGAATATACATGCACTAGTAAAATTTAGTTGGATACAACCAAATATATTCAATTACTATATCTGGTGTTAGGATAAAATGCCATGTGTCTCTTGCTGCTATAGACAAAGGAGAGGTCAAATTAAATTTACAGTACTGTACAACAGAATGTATTTTCAAAGAGGGTTAAATAATTTCTATGTCACAGGCTATCAAGCCTCCAATGGAAAACCCCAAGTAAAAAGATACTCTTTCTACACTCCGACCACTCTTCAGCTGGCCTAAGAAAACAGGCCGTGCTGGTATTCTGATGTCTTCATCAATACCGTAATCGACATAGACGATATTATCTTCAGCCTTTCCATTCAGCCGAAGCAAAAGATGTTTGGCGTCCTCTGTTTTCCATATCTCTCCACTCTGCCACAGGCAACTCAGCTCATCATTCATCTTTTGCCTTGACTTGCCCCTATTCTTAGCAGTAACAGACTGATCAATTTTTCCTTTGTGAATAAATTTGCTCAGGTTGCTTCCTTTTCCAAGGTAGAAAAATGCTATAGGTTGTTTGGAACGGCACATTTGCCAGTACTGCCCATTAAATGCCTTCTTCAGAGAATTGAGGTATTTTCCCATTTGATTGGAATCTTTATCGAATTGCTTTTGATTTTCAGGCCAGAATAATAAAGAAGCCAAGAAGTATGGTTCTGGGAATCGATAATCTAGACCTACTGACTGTAAAATTGTTTTAAGCTGTTCTTTCAGTTCTAGAAAAGATGGTACCATCTTGGATTTTGGATTGAGGCAATGGAGAACAATGTTGGCCAAAATAAAATTCAGTTTGTACCTCTGCAAAGATTTGCTAGAGCTCTGATCAAGCAAAAGTGTATACTGTTTCACTATGTCCTCAATTTTGCTTATAGCATTTTCATGATTGCTGAGATGTTCCAAAATTCCAGAAAACTTGTCAGCTTTGGAAGCTTCTAAACTCTTTCTATAATTTTCCACCTGCAAAGATGAACTCAGTTTTGAGTTCATTAGCCAGTCTGAATCAGAGTGGCAAAATGTTTCTGCATATTTTTTGAAAAATTCTTGAACCTTTCTCCGTATTTTGAGCTCCACGATTTCTTTTTCTGGATTTTTTGGCTTCAAAAAAACAAAGTAGTTCTCGAAAAAATCAAATGCTTTTTTCAAATTTGTGTGCAGATTACTTAGATAACTAGCATATTCTTCCAGTGTCAATCTGTATTCTTCATTCTCTGTATCACCTGGGACTTTTGGAATACCCCCATTTCCTGACAAAAACTGTATTATGTGTTTTCTAGAGAGTTCATCTTTTTTGTTGAACAGAGGTATGGATTCAATCATTTCTATAGCATATAGACCAGTTTCTATTTCTCCAAGGTAACCAGATGTATTATATGTTTCATATCTCCTCTTGTATTTTATACTCTGAAAACATTCTTTTTCACTGTCTTTATTTTCTGTTTGTTCTTGAGATTCTTTAAATGCCTCTGAGGCACACTTTGCAAGATTCAACAAACGTTTCAGAATTTCAACAGTTATAGATTTCTCTGCATTTTCTTCTAGGCAATGCTTTATTTCGCTTTTATAAACTTGACCCAAAGTGTCTGATATATATGAGTTGTTAGGGGCACCTTTTTTAGCTTTTCTAGCCCACTCTAGTGCACGATTAAAGTTTTTCTCCTTGATGTAGAAATGCCTTGCTAAGGCTTGGCTGATAAATACATTTTGACTAAATCTGCAGGTTGCTTCAGTCAACACCGTTTCAACTTCAACACTCCTCTCTTCTTTTTGAATTGCTTCAATTAATGGAGAAAACAAAGTGTCTGCGTCATCTCCATGTTCCTTTCGGTGCCTTATAAGCAGCATGCTTTGAACATCCTGCTGAAGTTTGTCTCTCCCTATGCCCATGTCATAAAATAAATTCTCTCTTAACAGCAACAGTGTAATCTTACTTTTTGTTAGTTTGTAAGTTTGTTTAAATTCCTCTAAGCATTGTCCAGCAATCAATGAATGACTAATACGTACCCCTTTGTATCGCCCACGTTCCTGCACTTCAGTCTGTATTATAATGTTGGAGCAGTTTCCCATCTTGTCATCCAGGTTTTCTGTACCCCAGTAAGCCTTTTTAGTACTTATTCCCAAAAATTCCTCGCATTGTGATACTGAAATTGTGGACTCAGTGACGTAAGAATTTAACAGTGCCAGAAAGGAAATAAGTCGAGTTTGCTTACTGCTAACATCCAAACCTTTTAGAGTGTTCTTAACTACATTCTCTATGTACTGCTGGTCAAAATTTCTTTTCATAATCATAAATGAGTAAAAATCTTCAGGATGATCATACTGCTCTTCAATTTCTTTCAGTTTTTCCTCAAAAGCCCTTTGTTCTTTCGGACTTAGTTTTTGTTTCAGTGCAATACTGTTCAAGCTGTTGCTTTTTGAGCTTTCCCCAGGATTCTGGGATCTCATGCAATTTAAGATTATAACTATAGGATTTTCATATTGAATACCCTTTTCTGCTATGGCAGACTGCATAGCATGCTGTAGAAGGTAAACATTTTCTTGCTCTTCAAAGTCATCTACAAGTAGCAGTACTGGCAAATAATCAAACTTGTTTGATGTCCCATATGTAAGTAACGTGGTCAATTGTGTTGCAATTTCTGCAAAATCAACTGTTTTATTTTTCAGAACAGCACATCTAAATTTCTTTCTCAGTTCCCAGAGAATATGCATGGCTAAAGTAGTACCACCACAACCCGGATGATGATAAAGGTTGATAATTTTTGTGGGCGACTGTTTAGGAGACTGAGATCCTCTTTCAATCAGATCTTCAAGCGTTTCATATGCATCCCGTTTAATAAAAGGTAAACAGTAGTTTTCAGAGGAGAAATAGAAATTCCACCAAGACACTTTCCCACCACGATAAAAATGCTCTTCTTGGGATTTTTTAAATTCATAAAATTTTTCTTCGTTTTTCTCAATTTCTGTGTCCTTGCATTCATTTTCACATAGTATTTCCAGTGCAGTCATAAAGTCTTCTTCTTTCTTTGAGAGAATTGTAAAAGAACCCCCCTTTGATGGCAAAAGTCTCTGAGAAGTTTGGGTCACTGATTTTAGTTTTTGGATGGTACCATCTACCATTGGTAGGCTCAAGTGAGATATGCACCTATCTGCTAGTGTGTCTGATTCAATAAATCTGGCTCGCAGGAGATCTCTCCAGCAAGGGTATGTTTGTGCCCCAATACAGATACACAGCATATCATCAAGTCCATTAAGTTCTTGATAAAAAGCACAGAAAGCTTCTATCATGGGATCACCTGGATCTTCCACTTTTGACAGCATGAGAAATACCACCAAAAATTTCCCTCTTTGCATTATATCTGGATGGGATAGAAATGAGATCAGTTTCCTCACCTCAGCTGCCTTCTGCTGCTGCCAGAGTCCAGGACTCAAGGGTTGATGTGCTTCACTGTTCAAGTCTGACCTACCGTTGCAGAAAATCCAACTTGGCTGCTGATAGAGATTAAGTTCTTCAATTGTTTCAGAAGCTGAATGCCCAGGCTTCTGGTACTGCTTTGGAAAATGAAGGTTTGCAGCTCTGTCTTCTCTGAATGCTTTGACGACACCATTGCTTGCTGATTCCGGGTCAAACTCTAGAACAGCAAATAACTTTATTTCCTGCAAGAAGTTTATATGCTGTGTCTGATCTGGATGACATTTGTTTGTGACTAAAATATACCAGTCATAATGGGAGTTATCTAGCAAGTCCCTGTTGCCTGTGAGTAAGCTCACCAGCTTACGACCTTCCCCATCTATATTCCTCCTTTTTTCTCCATGTTTTTCCTCAGCTTCTTTTCTGTCCTCTGCTAATTTCTCCAGTTTGGCCAAAAATGATTTATGTTCTGTTTTATCATTAGATTTTAAGAGGTTTTTGGAAGATGCACCATCTCTTATAAACAAACATGGATCCCATTTTTTAGTCTTAAAACTGTAGTTCTTAGTAGGGAAATATTTAGATAGGCAACTAGAGTACTTTGCAACCACATCAATTTCAATAACAAATGTTTCTGATGGGATGCTGTTTTGTTGCAATACTTCCACAAACCTAGGTTTCCTAATGCAATCTTTTGCAACACCAATGACAGCATCTCCAAAGTATTTGTTTATTAACTCAAAATAGCTAATATATTTCTCTTTATTTTGAACTTTTACTCCAATAATTTCTCCATGTGGCTTGTCCCGGACTCCCAAGTGGATAGTACCATTGGTGCGGGAGTTCATGCATGCTGCAGCAAATCTGAAAACCTCATTGCAAAATTTCATCTTCATATCCTCCTCTGTTGCATTTTCTGTATTTGTAAAGAGTTTAAATTCATGGACTGGATCAATAAGATTGAGGGGACCTGTTTCAGGTATATGAAGGACATAATGTTGAATATAACGATGGCTAATGTGAAACTCATCAAAAGGGTAGGGGAGACATGTTTGTCTAGTTGGAACCTGGTTATTTCCATTTCCTTGGTGAGCCATATCTTTTCTTCTTTCTTCAACTACAGATTCTGGTGGCTCAGTGGATTTAGATCTTGCAAACGCTGGTGACGCATCAGCACTGGCTGAATTCCCTTTGCTATTTTCTTTCATTGCACCTGCATCTTCACTTTTAATTGAAGAGTCTGTATCAAAAGGCCTTGTGCTACATTCTTGTCCAGAAGAACTGCTAGGGCTTTCACCTGGAACATCCTTTTTCCCCAGTGCATGCATTATTTGGCAAGCTGGGCCATGGGTTATACCCATTTCTGTGAGGTCTTGCTTGCTTAAAAGCTTCAAAATGGCGCCTGTCACATCTTGATGAAGAAGGATGTCGCCATGTTTCTCCTCAAGCTTAAGTTCATTTGTCACCCATTGTTTTACGTGTTCCTTAGTCCAGTCCTCAATTATTTCAGGCAATTCTAGCTGGTTGCTTTTCTTGATGTTTTTAGCCCTTTTAAGAAAAAAAAAAAGCAATATACCGTGTTAATGAAAACAAACCTTTTCTTTCTACACTACATTCAACATTTTGCAAACACCCCTTCATCTGCATCAGTGTTATTTAACTTTGATTCTCTTCATGTGAATGGACTATACTGCCCATCATCCTGGAGATGAATAGAGTTGTCCAATCTTTAGGGACCCAAGGTCAAAGAACACTGTTCTACACAATCCTGTCCTATGTCTTGCACCACACATCTAAAAAGATTTAAATGGATAGGCTTCTATTTAGTGGGAAGGAAGTTTACATTTTGGAGATCAGACTCAGATTTTTCAGTGAAGTTAATTTGAAAACCCTGATGTTTAAATCTCATTATAACAAAAAGTGGAAATCCGGACACAAAAGTTGTTGAGCAAAGTTTATGAGTTATGTCCAGGAAATTTCAGATGTATGGCAAAGCCTCTCCTCCTTCCAGAGGGGAGGGATTGTGAGCGGGAGACGATTCCCACGTCACGCAGGGGGCATTCTGCCCCCTGCCCTCTCATCATCACTGGCGTGCCACGCCTCCCAGGTGGGCATCCAATTGGGTGCCACCGCGGGGGCGTGGTTTAGCTGCTCAAATGTGGCCACACCAGTTCTACCTGCCATTGCGCTTCAGATTTTCCATGAGTCACCCACCCACCACTCCCTTTAGGGCGTAGCTTCTTGCTCGACCTTGCTATGGACCCATGGTTGGTCGCCCAGGGGGCCCGGTAGGAGTTTTTTCCAATTGGCAAATTGGCACCGGCCTCTTGGCTTTTTTCGCCTACCTCGTAGCAATCGTCACAACTTTCTTGGTATTTGGCAGTTAGGCATTGGAATGTGTTGGTGTATGGAAGGGCAAGGTGTGGCCATCACCTACCGCTTCACTTATGGGTATTCCGTTAAAGGAATCCGGCGGTCGTGGATCCTGTCCGATGCCCTGTGTGGCGGGAGGCCATGGCACAACCCTCAGTGACATCAGGGGAGAGCTTATAGTTGTATTTGCATCAACAGGCTCCCCCTACTGGTGGTTAACCCCTCATCAGACTCACCCCTCTCCGAGTGGGTGGAGTCAAATTTGCTGTGGTCCAATGCCTAAGCCAATACCTTCTCACATGCTGTAATAATAAAGTTGTGGCCTTTTCTTGCCCATTAACCTTATATACTGTGTCCACGTGTCTTCATTCCCCCAAAGCGGGGATCGGGTCCTCGAATCACAACCCTATATAACCTCCCAAATCACTTGCTATATTTTTGTTCATTTTAATTCAGCTTACCTTTTCTTCCCCATATTTGAGTTCTTCTGTCAGTGTGCTGTCTAGTTGGTCTTCTTTATTAAAATGACATCTGAAAGCCAGAAAACCAAAACCAAGAAACATTTACTCATTTTCAAATAGCATGGCTGCTGCATAATTTAATTAAGGAGAAATAATACAAGATATAGAAGATAATCAAGCCCTTACTTTATTTGGCTTAGGAATATGTCCATCCACCTCCACGTTAATTAAAAATAAAATAAACTTCCTATGTTTACATGGGCCTTCCACTGATTGTCATTTACCACTAATGGAATGTTAGTGAAAAAAGGTGAGATGTGAGAAAATAATGAATCAGAAGACAGGAAAATGTAGAGATCTAGAGGAATCAAAAATACTGCATCTCATGGTTAGAAGTCACTTGCTTTCTTTTGCTTAATTTTATTTTTGCTGAACTCTATTTCCCCCCAATATATTTTTGTTTGGTCCAAGTCCTTTGGAGCCCAGTTTGCCTTTTTGCCTTTGTTTTAGAGAAGGGATTTCTTGCTTTGAGCATATTCCACCCTCAGATTTGTTCTTAGCCATTTTCTCTGAGTCAGCCTTTTAAGGCCAGATATTTGACTCATTCTGTGCTATAAATCAATGCATTTTTATTTTACATTCTGTTTATTCCCTTGCACAGCTTAGACCATTCCAATTTTAAACATTTCCCCTCAATTTTTACCTGAAATGATTTCCCATTTGGACCATTCTGGGTCCCCTATTACACTAGATCAGAGGTTCTCAATCTTTTTCTTTTCTTTTTTTTACTCCATGGCTCCCTTGAGCAACTACATTCTTTCTATGGTTCCCCTGTGGAATACTTGGTAAAAACTTGTGTTGTTTCATCATTTAGTGGTTTTGCCTATGATTTCTTTTCAAGGCTTAAAATTTAAGCAGTAGAGTCATTTATTGCCCTACTAAATGTTGCTTTTGTAAGTTGGGGAAAAATGAAAACAAATTTTCTTAATAATAATAATATAATTTGGAAAAAATATACCAAATATAATTCACTATTTTGCAGCAGCCAACATACTTTACAATTCTTAATCTAAATTTGGTCATTCTCGCAACCATCTTGTGATGGTTCGGAGCAGGGACAGTGGAGAGTGGACTTGCTGCAGGCTGCTCAGTCAGTTTCATGAAATTTGATTCTAGGAGTCTTGTATTCAGACTACACATTGCCCACTTCCCTATACCATATTGTGACCTAGAGCACAGATTACAACCACTATGGTTTGCTGATCGGAAGAAGCGCAGTTTGAATCCCCATGATGGAGTGAGCTCCCTTTGCTCTGTCCCAGCTCCTGCCAACCTAGCAGTTCGAAAGCTCGCCAGTGCAAGTAGATAAATAGGTACTGCTGCAGCAGGAAGGTAAACAGTGTTTCTGTGCGCTCTGGTTTCCGTCATGGTGTTCCATTGTGCCAGAAGTGGTTTAGTGATACTGGCCACATGACCTGGAAAACTGTCTGTGGACAAACGCCGGCTCCCTCAGCCTGAAAGCGAAATGAGTGCCGCATCCCCATAGTCACTTTTGACTGGACTTAACCACCCAGGGGTCCTTTACCTTTTATATTTTTACTTTGGAGAAGATGCCAAACAGGCTTCCAATGGAGTCCAAGACAAAATTCTAGAAAATCACTCTCACTCTCTCCTCCCTTTCCTCCCCCCGCCCAGTTTTTTGTTTTTTAATGTGAACCACCGTCTCGGTTGTCATTTTTGGGCATTATATCTGCAAAGATGGAAGTAATTTCCTCCCCAGAAATCCTGCAGCAATTTCCAATCAGAAAAGTGCACTTTGAAAAGCGGAAAATCATCTCAAACCAAAGGGATGCTTTTGCATTCTCCCCTCCCTCACTGATTGTTCTCAAAATTGTGGGGCGCAGCCTGGGCCCCTTAGAGTTGATGCCTATACACCAACCCTAAACTCTCCCAGGCAACTTCCAACTTGAGCACGATCTACCCGCATGTGACCACACAGACATGCACTGGTGGAGGAACGGGGGTGCAGAGGGAGCGGACCACCCCCGGCACCACTATTCCAGTAGGGTGCCATTGTGGCGTCCCTGACATGCACTGTGCACCACCTGTGTGCCGGGCACTATGCCCCCACAGGCAGCGTGCCATGCCCCCAGAACGTGCGCCACACCCCTTTGGTTGGTGCACCACACCCTCGTGGGTGGTGTGCCACACCCCGGGCATGCATTGCACCCCAGGGCGTGCCAGCCATGCCCCTGCCTGCTCTCTACCCCTGGTAGTGGAGCATGCAGCTTCGCCACTGATGCCTGGAACCTGGAAGTGGGGTGCACCCTGGAGAGCCCTAGTGGCTTGCGAGAAGGCCCTCCCCAGAGGCTGAAGAGGATGTCCCCTCATAAGCCACTAGGGCTCTCCAGGGTGTTCCTGACTTATGCACATTTCACTGACGCATGTGGGGGCTTGGGTTGTGACCCCTGCGTAAGTTGCCTATAGTAGCCTTTTTGATCTGACCACAAATCCATGTCTCCCTCTCCCAGTATTTTGCTTCCAGTGGAGGGCAGTTACATAGGTTTATCTCCGGGGAGCTGGGATCTAAGGCATCAGCCACGGCCCACTGGTTGGGAACCACTGTAAAGGTAAAGGTAAAGGTACCCCTGCCCGTACGGGCCAGTCTTGCCAGCCTCTAGGGTTGTGCGCTCATCTCACTCTATAGGCCGGGAGCCAGCGCTGTCCGCAAACACTTCTGGGTCACGTGGCCAGCGTGACAAGCTGCATCTGGCGAGCCAGCGCAGCACACGGAAACACCGTTTACCTTCCCGCTGGTAAGCGGTCCCTATTTATCTACTTGCACCCGGGGGCGCTTTCGAACTGCTAGGTTGGCAGGCGCTGGGACCGAACGACGGGAGCGCACCCCGCCACGGGGATTCGAATCGCCGACCATGCGATCGGCAAGTCCTAGGCGCTGAGGTTTTACCCACAGCGCCACCCGCGTCCCATAAGGGAACCACTGTACTAGATAATAAAATTGTAGATCCTAGGTTCCATCTTTCTCAATTTCCCCCATTAGTCTGCAGAAACCATAGTTCCTCGGATCCCTGCTTGGATTGGTAGCTACAACCTCCCACCCCAATGTTTAAGCTATAAGACTGGGAATTCAGTAAGCTTTTAACTAGGTGGAAATTTTGGGAATTTAGGGCTTAGTAAGATACATTTGCTTCGGATAGCTGTTCGGCTATTTATTTTTATTTTCCAATATTTCAATTATTGCAGAGTTTACATTTCCATCATTTCTGTGCATTTTTTAAAAAATTAAAAAATAATAATGGTTGATCTGACTCAAGTGCTTTGTGGGATGGAGGGGAGCTGCTATACTAGTCTTCCAACAGATGGGTTGCTATTGCATATGAGAAAGGGAGGAGGGTGAGGTGACAAGAAGGGCGATGCAGTGCAAATGAACTGGCAGAACCACTAGTCTGGCCCCGCTGGTGCATTTGCACTTGCATGTGTCTCAGCCCATTCTGACATTCATTCACACGTTCATCTGGCATATTGTGTTCCGCTGCAATTAATCTATTTTGCACAAGTCCTTCTTCCTCTGCTATGTGGAAATGTAATCTCTAATGTGGAAATACAAACTTCATACTGTGCAATAGACAAGGATATTTTAGCCATTTATGGATATTTAAAAATCAGCTGCCTTGCCTTTGTGATTTCTTTCAACATTAACAAATTTCCAGAGGGGCAATCCTGTTATTCTGTAGCAAAACCAACCAAGTGCCTTGCGGCACCTTAACGACAAAGTTGATGAAGTAATCACAAAGCTGTTATGGCTAAAATTCAAAGCGTTTCTAGTCAGCGATAACTCTTAATTGAATCCAATGAGACTTACAGTCACACCTTGGTTCTCGAACGAAATCCGTTCCAGAAGTCCGTTTGACTTCCGAAAACTTTTGAAAACCAAGGTGCGGCTTCTGATTGCCTGCAGGAACTTCCTGCACTCAATCGGAAGCCGTGGAAGCAGGGTCAGATATTTGGGTTCCAAAGAACGTTCACAAACTGGAACACTCATTTCTGGGTTTGCGGTGTTCGGGAGCCAAACGTTTGAGTTGCAAGGCTTTCGACAACCAAGGTACAACTGTACTCTTAGGATGCAATTCTAAACCCACTGATGTACAGTGGTACCTCTGGATACGAACGGGATCTGTTCTGGAGCACCGTTCGCATCCAGAGCAGAACGCAACCCGCGTCTGTGCATCTGTGTCTGCACGGATCACGATTCGCCGCTTCCGCGCATGCGCGTGACGTCATTTTGAGTGTCTGCACATGCGGCGAAACCTGGAAGTAACCCATTCTGTTACTTCCGGGTCGCCGTGGAGCACAACCCGAAAACGCTCAACCCGAAACTACTTCAACCCAAGGCATGACTATATGTCTAATTTTTTCAATAACAGTTAGAAAATCTGACACATCGGACTGTATGATGTCACATCCTCTAAACTTTTGTGGTGGGAGAAAGAACTTCTTACGTTGCTATTGTGAATAACAGTTACAGAATACATCATACCAAGCATTCACACGGTCCTCCCAAGCTTTTAAAGATTAAGTAAAAGAGAGGGAGAGAAAATGGTTGATAAAGTACTCATTTGTTTCCCAGTTTAAGGACCTTCACTGGGTTGATGAAGGTTGATTTTTGGTCTGACCGACAATCTATGTTTGCTCTGGGTGTGTGTGCACACCACACCAAAGCTGTTTTGCATTAAGGTGTACCACACCTATCGAAAACTCTCAGCTTCTCATACCAATATGTGTGGATTGGCTACATCCCAAAAATAGACCGATATTGGAGATTAGTATTCAGAGATTCTGACTAAAAAGGTTCAAATCTCACATAATTCCTGTCTCTCACTCTCACATACATCTCTCTGCCCCTATACAGGCAAAAGAAGTCGCTGCTATTCTCCTTCCAACTTGGCTGCCAGCCTGACACCCATTGCCGCCAATGACGTTTTTTGCCCTGGTGGTGAGTTGGTGGTCCCTGCCTCATGAAGTTCTGGGTGACTTGGGTCAATTGGCCAGTCACAATATGTAGCACCTAACCAGATATGTACACCATAGACAGTGCAGTTTAGCAGTTAGAGTGGTGGACTGGGACAGAGGAGACCCAGGTTTAAGCTACGAATCTCACTAGGTGATTTTTGAGTCAGTCACTACCTCAGAGCCTGACCCACCTCACAGGGCTGTTGTGAATATAAAATATGGGGGTGCAGGGGCAGGGGAAACAATGTATGGATTTGTAATAGATCCTATTAAAAACACATTTCGATCCATTAATAAATATTAATTGTGACTGCAAGGCTTACATGGGAGAAAACTGAACTTCATAGAACTTACTTCTGAGTAGACATACATAGAATTGCACTCAGAGATTAATGCTTACCGTTATCTTGAAGTGCTCAGGCTTTCCAACTATTTTAACTGAAGAGCTGCAGTTCTGGGAAACGAAACAAAAACGAAAGCAATTATGGGTGTGACACTTTCCATCTCAACTCTGTATGTTTTTCACCAATTTAATTTATCATTTTTTTAACTTTGTTTTGCACTGCTCAGACTATTCCTTATTTTAAAAGTGAAAAGGGTGTTTTAAAAATACTTGGAAACTACTTAATTAATTTTCGGAAGGGGAGAAAAATGCAGGCAGCTATCTAGCTCTATTACAGAGGGAGAAAACAATTTTAAAAATCCACAGTTACTTGAATACTTAATACTTTTTCTGAACCCCAAAGTTTTCAGTTTGGTTTCTTAGAACTAATTTAATAAAAGTTAGACATAATACTGAGTTGCTGCAATAAGTATTTATCCTATAAAACACAATTATCCTATAAAAGAACTCTTTCACAAAGACAGTCCGATGCCCCATAAATTTATTTCCATATAGTACAAAGGATACAATTTATTTTAATATCACTTTTCTCTGGCTTTTGAGGAAGTATATCTTATCAGTCTTCATCTCTATAATAAATCACTTACCAAGATAGTTATGCAGACTCCATGCCACAAATGCTGGATAAATACATTTTGTTCAGTCAGAGAAACCCAAACATCTCTGTCCTTGCTTCTTCTGTTAGTTGCTTCCTCTGTTAGTTGCAAGAGACAAGCACATCTACAAAATCACTTTGCAAGGGACTAAGAAGCAGGGGTTTTTTTTTTGCCAACTCCTGTCACATGATCTGCAAGTAGCAACGAGGCAAGTTGGCTTAAAAAAACCAAAAAACCACTTCCTCAACCATTGTTAATCAGTGAGTAATATGTACAGTAACACCCACTGAAAACATCACATAAGTACCAGATAATTTTACTGACCTATCTTTGAAAGCTTCTGATATGGGGTATGTGTTCCTATCTCTGAAATCAATATAATGTTAGGGATACATGTATGAACTTTTATGGCTCAAGCTCATCCACATTCTAAGACCATGCAGGCACAACAAGCGATCATTTTCAAGATACCACATCTATGTCAGGAGCTTTTCGGATGCAGATAGAAATTTATATTTATTTATTTTATCATTTTAGATAATCTAAAGATGAGAGAACCTCTCACCTTCAGTTTCTTTTCTCATTTCCCCCATCATTAAGTTCAGTTCCCCACATTTCCACATCAGCTTTTGTATTTACTTATTTTTTAAAGTCATTTTGAAAATTCATCAGAATTTCTCTTAATGTGCACGTTTGTGTGCAATTTTGCCTAATATACACATTTTTGCAAAGCATTTTCCCCAATATAACACATGCCTGTATGTTATTTTTGCTGATAGGTGCATTTTTATGCACAGCTCACCACATTATATTCTTTTTTGTACACATTACATTGGCTGGAAAACTGCACTGCAAAATTCAGAGAAGTGTGAATTTTGAAGGATGCCTGTGTTTCAGTTCGTGTGTTTTGGAAAGTGCAAACAAAGCAAATTAAATGTAAATGTAATCAATTCCACCCCCATTCCTATTTATTACACAAACTTCTTGGGTGTTTTTCAACTAAAACCAAGCTCTCAAAGTGACTTTTGACATACAGTTTTAAAAAATCTGACTAAAACTACTATAAAATACAGCTCAAAGCAATAATGCAAGGAAAATTGTAAAATTAAACAGATTGCAGCGCAAGCACACATGACTGATTGGCTGCGAAAAGCTTCTGTGTGTAGGAGTGCTTTCCTGGAGTGAATGTCACAAAGGGTCTTATTGGGCAATTGGTGCTGCCCCATGCTCTCACTACCCTACATCTGAGAAAGTAGGAATACAGAGCAAAGGCTGGCTGGTGGCAAGACTGGTCAAAGGCAACCAGTATACCTGAAGGAGCATCTCCACCTCTATCGTTTAGCCCGGACACCGAGGTCCAGCTCTGAGGGCCTTCTGGCGGTTCCCTCACTGTGAGAAGCAAAGTTACAGGGAACCAAGCAGAGGGCCTTCCCGGTAGTGGTGCCCGCCCTGTGGAACGCCCTCCCATCAGATGTCAAGTAAATAAACAACTGCCTGACTTTTAGAAGACATCTGAAGGCAGCCCTGCCTAGGGAAGCTTTTAATGTTTGATGTTTTATCGTGTTTTAATATTCTGTTGGAAGCTGCCCAGAGTGGCTGGTGTTTTGGGAGGATCCCTGGGGGCTACTGTCCCCAAGCATCAGATGCAATGATCTCCCAGTCTTCAGCTCTGAGCCATGTACCTGACCTGCAGCCTCCAACTCCGTCAAGATTGCAGCTACCCCAAACCAGCATGTGCCACCTGTGGCAGCTGCCCACACTGTTTAGCGGTAGGGTTCATCCTTCCAGAGGCAATTTAATCCAAAATTGGACCCAACAGAGGCTTGACTTATACTCAGGGGATTGGTTAACTGTTAATCACATTAAACATATTAGCTCAGTGTGTGTGTGTGTGTGTGTGTGTGTGTGTGTGTGTGTGTGTGTGTGTAATGTTTAGGAACCTGTATATTTCTGTATATGTCTACAGGTTAAAGCAAGTATTCATTAATTATCATTTCCTGAAACAGAAAGGGATACACGTGTAAATATTTGCCAGAATGACTCCCAGGCTGCGTACCTGGTCCTTCAGGGGCACACTTACCCCATTCAAGACCAGGGAATCCCCCACACCCGCCCTCTCCGTCCCCCAAAAACAGTACTTCTGTCTTGTCAGGATTCAACCTCAATCTGTTAGCTGCCATCCAAGTAGGTGGACATTGCTGTCTCTTGTGGGAGCAAGTTCCATAGTTTAACAATATGCTGTGCGAAAAAGTACTTTCTTGTATTTGTTCTGAATCTTGCAACATTCAGTTTCATTGGACGGCCATGAATTCGAGTGTTCATGCCATGCCATGTCAGGCATAATTTTATAAACTTCTATTGTGTTGCCTCTTAAATGCAGCTTATAGGGTTTTCTGTTTTAACACTGGCATGCTGGAGTAGTGTATCAATCCTACCAGAGCACATAACGTGAAGAAAAACCAAAGCAATGAAAGTTATCCAGTTCACAGAAAAGAAAACAAAGAGGCCCAAAGAGTTGTGATTATTTTAACAAGAGTGCCGAGCCACCATCTGTGTGGTTTCAAGCAAGACAGTAAAAGAATTCCTTTTTAAAATTCAAAATCTCATCAAATTTATTACATAAATTCGTCATAACATACTAAAACTTGTTACATATTGAATTCATCATGTGCTTTAACAATACTGAACATCACAAAAGTATTTAATTGTCATTGCAAGTTTTAATTATGCCTTTAGCAAAACCCATCTATAAAAAAGTTTTGGGCGTTTGTTTTTCTCTCATTAGTACCACATTTTGGCTGCATTTAGATATCTTCTCTGGGTTTGTGGACTCTGGTGTGGCTGCAGGAGGCAGATAATAAGTTTCTGCTACCACCTTAGTTTAACTGTCATTGAACTCTTACAGTTTCCAAATTCCTTCTTGCGGCCATGGCAGAAGAGAACAGAGATGCACAAGCTTCTTAATATTTTTAATTTTAATTTGTCTAGTGTAGTTAACTTCTTGCAGTAGTTACCATATAGGGGAATGATTTTCTTTGTCTCTACAAAATCATATGTTTTTGGTGAAGAGGCACAGTAACAAAGGGGAGAATTTATTTGGGGGCTTGAACTCACACCCCATCTCTGCATCGCACCGAGGGTCAAAACAGACTCCAGATTATTCCTACAGTAGCTGCATGCTCCCCTTGACCCAGATCAGAACTCTGGTGAAGAAAAAGAGTTAAAGTCTCTTCCTTCCATGTGAGGGTACTGGGGGGGGGCTATGACTGCTATTTACTTTATAAAAAAATACTAAAATATGGATCAGTAATTACATAAATAATGTCATGCCTGCTTTTGTCCCTGTTTGTAGCCTTGGGCAAATCACCTTTCTTCTCCTAACTCAGGTTTCTCCATGGCTAATACGTAGGGCTTCCAAGATGGAAGAGAAGATATGGGTTAGGATGCAAAGGATTTGTAGTATCTTCCCCTTTAGGAGGCCGTAGCCATCGCTGAATACATATACATACACACATACATACATATTTACAGTTTTGAAATATAGCAGTCACAGCGAATCACTTTATACATTATTTCAGTTGCAATGTTCACTTAATGCAATGTTCGCTGATTTTAGAAAAAGCAGGTATTTGCTAACGAACACCTGTCATGCTGCTAACATATACTTATTTATCGTTATTTACAGTACAGGCTGATGTAAAATCTTAAGGGCACATTCATTTTAGTGTTCTGTATTTTTTATATTAAAAAAAAGCATTGGAGATCCCTCTCAATGGGCACAGATGGCAGCAATCCAATATTTTAGAATACAGTAATGGAATAACCAACAATTAGACATTTCATTGTTGGATTTGTAACTTTTACAGTCTAAATTGTAATCAGCAGCTGTAAGCAATATATAATTTAAACAAAGCATATATATATATATATATATATATATATATATATATATATGCAGGTTTTGGTGTCCTCGGGTGTCTTCCCGTGTAAAAGTTGGGGTGTCTAGGCGACGTTTCGACGAGGTCTCACTCGTCATCTTCAGGCTGGTGCTTTCGGCTTCTTGTTACTGGAACAGAGCTCTGTTCCAGTAACAAGAAGCCGAAAGCACCAGCCTGAAGATGACGAGTGAGACCTCGTCGAAACGTCGCCTAGACACCCCAACTTTTACACGGGAAGACACCCGAGGACACCAAAACCTGCATTCCTGTACCCGTGAAAATCTACGAAAGCATATATATATATATATATATACACACACATTAGAAATGTGCAAAGAAGATTTTGCTTCTTAAGCTTGAGATGGCATTTTCATCAGAAGTGACAGGTCAATCCTCTCCCATGCTGTGGCATTTGTTGCTTCTTCTATTTCCAAAAACAGATTTCACCCCTATGCTTTCATTTTCTTTTCATGTGCCTCTAGGAGGGGAAAAAAATCAAATATTGAGTCACAGTTTCTGGTTCAGAAGACTGTGTGTAGAGCTTTTAAACTTCATTCCATAAACAATACCAACAAATTCCCGAGGGGCAGTGTCTTGCAGCAAAACAACCACCACAAAGCGATGTCTTATGATATCACAGGATATCCTCATTGCAAACATCTCCTGAAACATTGCAAACTGTTAAGTAGGGTGGGGTGTAGTGGACAGAATGTTGCACACTCAAGTCATGCATAAGCAGAATATAAATGTGATAATAATAATTAATAATAATAATAATAATAATAATAATAATAATAATAATTTGTAAACTTATAGCATGACACAGATGGAGTAATGTTTGTAAAGGTAAAAACAAAACCTAAACCCACCATTTGTAAAATATATGAAAAAGAGAGCACCCTGGAATGAAAACCACTGTCATCCAAACGTTTCTTCATATTTTCTGCTAAATTTTATTTACTGTAATTCTCAACAATTCCCAGAATGGAAACCATTTTAGTGAATCTGTGTTAGTTGATGAAATGGATTATAGTCCATTAAAGCATATGCCATAATAAATTTGTTAGCCTTTAAAGCACCACAAGACTTTGTTATAATTCTGATGGTTTTAATTATTCTGATTTTTGTATTTCCCTTCTTGGAAATACCAAATGGCATTAAAATGCCAGGCTATATGTTTTTTAATTGATTGACTGACTGATATAAAATAAAATCC